ATGATTCCATGAGAATCATAATATTCATCCATTTGAAATTCCTTCCTTTGATCACTACGGATCCGTTTGATATGGAGGTCAAACTGTTTCTCCCTTTTGTTACAGAATGTTATCAACTGAGGTATGGCTCCAGATTTTAAGTGTAAAAGAACAATCCAAGTCATACGAGTGAAATCGTCAACAATGGTGAGGAAATATCTATAACCATCATAACTTGGAACTGGGTTAGGACCCCAAATGTCTACATGTAAAAGTTCAAAAGGTAAACTAGTTACATTCTGACTTGTAGGAAAAGGGAGTCACCTTTGATTGGCAAAGTGACAGACATCACAAGGAATTTCTTTTTGCGTTTGGATGGAGTTACAAAATTGGGAGAGGTAAGAGATTTTGGAATGGGACAGATGTCCTAGACGAAAATGCCAGATATCAAAAGGAACAGAACTAGCTGCTGTGATGTGTTTAGGAATAGTATATGCTTCTAGGTAGTAAAGACCATTGTTCAATCTAGCAGAACCAATCATTCTCTTCTACTCTAGATCCTGTAGGACACAAAGGTTAGAAGAGAAGGTCAAAGAGAGCGAGTTTCTGGTTGACAATTTACTCACAGAAACTAGATTAAAGGTTAAGTGAGGTATGTACAAAACATTCTCCAGGATCAATAACTCATTGCAGACTATTTTCCCAATATGAGTGGCTTGGATTTGTTGACCAGTAGGCAAGGTTATGTAAACATTGCTTAAAGGTCTATGATCTGTAAGATGGTCAAGGGTGCATACTATATGGTCTGAAGCCCCAGTGTCCAGAATCCAAGTTGACTGATCATGACAAACTACATTGACAATAGGTGAAGAGATAAGGCATTTACCTTGATGGTTGTGTTTGTCACAAAAGCAGCAGCTGAATATGGTGGGGATTTGAGAGTACCCATGAGACTCATAAGTCGATCATATTTAGATTTAGTCAACTTAACTTCTTTCGCATCCTCTAGAAACAACATTTGCTGAATGCTTGCCCTTGGCAACTCCAGAGCTACCAGCTCTAGGTATGTAACCAGGTGGGAAGCCATGTTTTTGGAAATATTTTTCTTCTGTATGCCCTTGTTTCTTACAGAAACTGCACTCCATGATCTTGCCATATTGAGGAGATGGTCTGGTGAGATTCATGCCAGGAGGATAACCATGTTTTTTGGTAACATGTGTCTTTAGTGTGTCCATCCCTCTTACAGTAGGTACAGTAGGGCCTCCTGTTGATAGGATTAGGCCTCCTATTAGAGCTAGGAACTACTAGGACAGTGGAATCTAAAGAAATAGAAGCAACCATTTTGCCTCTTTGTGTCCCATAGAGCTGCCTTTCATGCTGTAACATTTTTTGAAAAACACGATTGATGTTTGGTAACTCATCACCAATCAAGATGACTGGTAGGTGTACAAGTGCAGGGAATCAAAGGCTGATAGTTTTCAAGTTCATCTCGGTAGGTAATGACTTGTCCATAGTATTCAGTGATGGTTTGATTACATTGTTTCAAAGTGGACAAGGCTTCCTCTAACTCAGCAACCCTGACAATGTCACCTGAACCATAACGTGTTTGAAGACTCAACAGATTGCTGGATCCAGCTGAGAATCATCACGTTGTTGCGGTTCCAAGCACCCCTTCGTGGATCTAATGTAGCAAGCTCGACCAAGGTTCCATTGATGAAACCAAGTTTGTTTTTGGCAGCAAGAGCGTTTAGCATAGCTCTGCTCTAGTCGTTGTAGTTGGTGGTGTTGAGCTTTTTGACCACCAGTAGAGAACGTGGTTGCTCAGATCCATGGAGGAAGTAAGGATCTTCCAGAACATAGTTTGGTTGTTGTTGGGGATTGACATTAACGTTTTCCTTCTGTGCAGCAGCTGCTGCATTTGGAGGATTTTCTTGTGGATTTTGAGCAGCAGCTTGCTCATCCATGTTTGCGGCGGCTAGGGTTTATAGGGCTCTGATACCATAACAACATATGAAGTTTGAGAACCCTAGAATCACTTGGTGTTTTCATTAAACAAACTTCTGCTTATATAGTGCAGATGAAGGAGCTACATGACAAGCTACTTAGTTGTCAAATGTTCTGTCCTATTACTTGGAAAGGACACAACTCCTTGCCTTAGACAAAAAGAAAGTACAAACACGGGAATAGCAAAACGGCAGCGGAGTGGTAAGTGGACACGATGACGTTTTGCTATCCTGCCGATCGAAGGAAGAGAAGCGGCAAAACCACTGCGGAGAGAAAAATGCCGTTTTCCTCTACTATGTCGTTTTATCAAACATGCCCCTTACTATTTTTTACATTAAACATACCTCTGTACTTTAGAAAAATGATCAAACATGTCATTCTGTTAGAATTTTCATAAAAAAAAAGTCAATCATGGTCGAACCTTGGTTTGGGTAGCACAAATGTCTAAAATATCCTTGATAATTTCACTTTAGAATTGTTTGGATTCTTTTATAGTGCCAAATACCTCTAATAATTTTATTTTAACAAGACCTAGAGAAATAAATCAAGGTAAGAAACCTGACATTTTCCCTCCCATTTATCGATGTCGGGACGTCTAAATCTCGGTTCAACCATTGTTGACGATTTTTTTAATGGAAATGTTAACAAAAGGCCTGTTTGATCATTTTTCCAAAGTACAGGGGCATGTTTGATGTATAAAATAGTAGAGGGCATGTTTGATAAAACTGCATAGTAGAGAAGCATATTATACCTATAACCCAACATCATATTGCCCCCTTAAGTAAAATTGACAAGAGAAGTAGGAACCTAAAAAACAAAAATAAAAAGAAAAATAAAACACAACATTATATTTGTTGATATTTGTTGGTGATGGTGTACCACCTCACCTTCACGGCTTGCATCATCAATAGTAATATTATTCTTGAGCTACACTTTTGGTAAATACTAATATTGATATATGAAAGAGAATTTTAGTCTTATAGTATTGGCGTTTTGGTTTACAAAAACGCCATATTCTTAGGAGGTACTGGTAGGCATGTACGTGTAGTTCGCTCGATTTGACCTGCCCATTCCTGATCTGTTTTGTAACTCTAAGTTATATAAGATTTTACTTAAATTATCTGCAATTTCATTTTCTGTACATAATATGCTATAATAATTTGTAAATAGGCAAGAACTCAAATTTCGTGAATAATCTAACTACAATTATTGTGTCATATTTTGCTTCTCAAATTTTTTAATGAAGAAAATAAATTTTTCTTGTGTTTATCGTTCATTGTACATACCTATTTGTATTGACTTGCCCCGACCCGTACCTCATGACAAAGTACCCAACCTGTCATGAAACGGGTATGGATATCGATATACCCGCCCTGACATGTCCCATTCCAATTCCTGTATATAACAAACTAAGGAAACCCTTTAAAAAACAAACTGAATCTAATTACATATAAACAACGATGGTCTACAAGAAAAAAAATTATCCTATTTTATTTATTTTCATCTTGACGGTGTTTCATAACCGAACTGAAAAAACACATATTTCCCTGCAACGAAGTGCGGGGCGGGTACACCTAGTTTATTATTAACTGAACTGTTGACTATCACGCACAAAGTTTATTTCCCTATAACATTTTAATCAATGCGACATTCTTCACAATTTATTTTCTTGATTATTGACTAACTATTTTTCATTTTTAAATAAAATATTCATCATGTCATCAATTTATATTACGAAAAGGTTACGTAATGTTAGTTAACTTAGCTTCTACATGACAGTTTAAATAGGAGCAAGGTAAGTAATAAATTCTCAACGAGTACTGTTCACAATAGCTTCGATTCCCTATGCCCAATTTCACCGTAAGCTCTTTCTTATTTGCATTAGACAATGATTTTGAAAAATAAATTATTTTTTTACATAAAATTTTATTTCCTATACTCAATTGCACATATTACAATGATATTCCAATATGATTTTTTACGTAACTTTATTTTATTATTAGATCACACATTATGAAAGATTACGGAAGAATATTTGTTGACAGTTACAATACGAAAAGGTTTCATAATGTTATAAATAATTTAATTATTAGACCATATTTACGAAAGATCTACGTAACAAAGTTTGTTAACAATTACGCTACAAAAATATTTCACAATGTTAGTTCACTTTTGCATGACAGTTGAACTAAATGTGATACTTTTCATAACTTAATTTATTATTAGACCATACATTATGGAATATTTACTTAACACCCTTCATTAACAGTTACGTAAATAAATTACAAATATATTACCTTAAACTTATGGAGTAATAGATATTTCTTATGTATCACTTGAACAAACTTATGGCATAATTTATTTGTAACGATTTCAAATACTACGGAAAGTATATGGTGATATCTTACTGAAATTTTATTAATTAATACATCATTAAATAAGTGGATGAAATTTTAAGTACAATTAATTTCTCCTGTTGTGAAGCGCGAGCCAAAAAACTAGTATATTATATATATAGAGTTGTCGAATGCTTAGAAGTATTCGATCATTGTAATATATACTTAGTTTTGTCCGTAGTTGGGAAATTAAAAAAGATGTGGCAGCTGGTTTGTTTGATTTGATTAATTAATTTTATAGGATGGAGGTTACCGCAAAACTCGAGTTTCTGATCTGCAGAAGGGCCTCGGGGTTGACTATAAATAAAAATGAAATCGAAAAAGAAAATGGAAATTAGTCGAGAGAGAGAAGAAAGATAGCCCGGGTAACTAACCAACTAATCAATAATCTAATAGAATTCATTGCCAAAGAAAAAAAATATCTAATAGAATTAGCGTATGATTGCATTGGGTAATCAGACAGTTAGTATATAAACGCATTCGCGGCACCCATTTTTCTTCGAAGTGAATCAAGAAGCCACACAACACACCACCACCGTCCACCACCACGCCCAATCTTCCTCCGTCAAAACCACCTATCTATCTTATACATAGGAGGCGGCGAACGGAGATTGATTGAGCACTCCGGCGGCCGGTTGCTGTTGTTGTGTGGGGCTTAGCTATCACCTACTTGAATAATGAAGAACACCACCATGATCACCTTCTCCCGCGTGCTCCTTCTCGTCGTCGCCGTCGTGATTTGCCTGCAGGCCAGCACTAGCCACGCCGTCCGACCGGCCTCGGCGAACGACCCAGCATGTAATTCTTATCAACAAGCACTGTCGGGCAGCTGCATGGACTACTTCACCGGCAAAACCGGCGGCGACAAAGTGCCTCCGCAGTGCTGCCAAGTCCTCACGGCCTATGTGTCCAAGTTGGGAACCAAAGGGGAGAGACAACAAGCCTGCACATGCTCCCACAACTTGCTCACTGCCTCTGGGGTGAAGCAGGACCGCCTCTACAAAGTTCCAACAGACTGCAAAATACCAGTACAAGCCGACTGCAGCAAGTAATAATAAGTCCTCCATATTTCTATATATCCTCATCACTAACATCGATCATTACTCCTATTAAAAATTATTTTTTGCACCTGCAGGGTTGATTAAGTGGGTGATATTGATTGCTCTACTCGATCAATCGCTCCTCTTACGATATTGTTGTTCACCACTCAGCTGCACACATGCAAGGAGTTCATGTTCCACGAAGAAAGTACGAAACAACATATATATTGTTATAGATCCTTCTAATTAATCTCATCTACAAAAATGTCGCAATTTCAAGGTTTCTTTCTTTTCACTATGTACAATAAGTGGCTCCTCCACAACTATACTTACTGCTTAATAAATCCAAGATTATCTATATCTACAATGAAACATCTGCTCGATCGAGACTCGTGAGCGAGTATCAAATGTCTATGCGCATATGAATATTGATAAAATCAGGGTTTAAAATAACGGCCGAAAGGACCTAGAAATGAATTAAAATAAATAAAATAGTATATTTGAATATCTGAGCTCTGATCTTGGATAACAACTAACACTAGCCACATTCTTTGCTCAAGAAAATAGAAGTGTTCATTATTTTTTGTCATTAAAAAGTGCTTTCCATTCAAAAACATCAAGCAGGTTAACGTCACAAGATTCTGATGTACAGTCAAATATCAATAATCGACACGAGCGACTGTGTGTTTGCATTGGTTGGTGAATCTATTATACAAGTTTGAAGAATGAATTCAAGTTTCTTTACAATTATAAACCATCGATTTTGAACTCCATGGCGGGCTGAAAACTCGATTCCCATCTTGTCAAGTGCCGGTGATGCGACCAATCAATCGTACGAAAGCCGTATCCAACTTTGTACCCCCAAATTGCTCCATCTTCACTCGCTTGAGTTTCGCCCAAGTATTTATATTTTCTTTTAGTCTTTTACAAGACCTAGACAGACTTCTAAGCCAGCAAATATGAGTTGCTACCCAATCTGAAAATATTCAAACACAAAGACAAAATCTTACGTAGACAAAGGCAACAAGGAAACAGGTGCTTATTAGAAGATCTATATACCAAAAACAAAAAACTAATGTGACAATTTTAAATTCACACAAACTGTCATTAAAAGGTGGAAAAATGTCACAATAGAGATATACCAATGTTTTACGCAAATAGCGCAAAAATGTCACTTAATCAAGTGTAGCTAGATTCTTTGGTGACATTTGTTATAATTGTCGGTACCACTTTTTCTGTGACGTTTATTTTGCATACTGCGACACTTATAATTGTAGGATAAAAACATTTTTTACGACATTCTCAAGTGTCATAGGTGATGCATATAGTGACGTTAAACAATCATAATTTATATAAATAGTGACATTTCCTGCTAGTAATGGCAATTTGAACCCGCCCTGCGGGTAGTACCCATCCTGACTCGCGATGGGGCGGGGCATGAGTATCTACTTCTGACCCGCCCTGGCCCGTTATTGGTACATTCTACCTCAATTTCTTACAGTATTTATACATATTTCTCCTATTTTAACTTTTCAAATAGCGAGAGTCGATTTTCAACTGGTTAGACTCAATTATACATTCTATTATTACTATCTTCTTTCATAAAAAATTTCTCCTTCGTTTTATCGTAAAATTTTTTGTGCGTGGGTTTTATCAAATAACATGTAACAATGGGTCAACCCGCCCGGCCCCATACCCACGCGGGTTTTAATCGCCCCACCCTATTTCCATCACTATTTCTTGCGAAGTTCTAAAGTATTATTGGTTATGCAAAAAGTGAAATTTCTCTAAAGATGTCAAGTTGTCGTAGTTAATACAAATAGTGACATTTGTTACGACGCTGCAAGATACTCACGTTGATGATTAGTTCATGTCTGGTGATTAAGTACTTTTTTTTTTACAATAACAATCATCATTTCATTCCAAACCCACACAAGTGAGAAGCAAAACAATTACAATAATGGAATGACAAGATCGGCAATGACAATTCATTCCGAAGGAAGGAGATCGAGACGAGAGCTCCTCGCAATCCAATCAGCCAAGGCATTGAATCAACGGGAAACAAACTCAACCGAAGTCCAAGGAGAGAGGCAAAGAATTGAAACAACCCGGGCAAGAGTTGCCCGGCATTGCCATGACCACAAGCTCAGATCCTATCTCAACGCAATCGTCAACCTCTGACAAGCGGACCTGATACACATTGGGACTAGATCCTGAGAAGCCAAGATAACTGCTTTAAGAACAAAAGAAACTATCGCAATGCAATTAGCAATCCCATACGCCGCAACCTATGCATCAGAGACAAAGGAACCATCGCAATGTAAAACCTTACTGAAAGGACCAGGCGGTGATAAGGTCGTCGACCGAGACCTCCCAGGCTGAGAAGGCAAACCAGCTGATATTGAAGAAGAAGGGGAAGTTGAGGACAAGGCCATAGCTTCCTTAACGTTTCGGAACTCTCTATCAGCTAGAATTGCCATAGTAGGTGGGCAGAACACCTTTCCATCGAAAACCATTCCATTACAGAAATCCAGATATTCCACATTGTACACACAATCTTGTTGGTTTGGTCAGTTGTCGAGCTGTCTTTGAGAGTAAAAAAACCAATCCTCAAAGCTGGTATCCGCAGAAGGGAGAACCACCAACCCGCAGAATGGAACAAACAGTGCATAACCGTTTCAACATGCTCCTCACATAGCGGGCAGAATGGATCATGAGCACACTTGCGTTCAAACAACCTCGCTCGTGTTGCAATTGCATTCTTATCACTTTTCCAAATGGAAAATCAAAGCTTAGGGGTCAAGGAAAGATCCCAAAGCCACTTCCAATCATCCTTGTTTAGTCGAGAAGAGTTATCTGCAGCAATTGCTTGAGGAGAATCTATCACCTCTCTAAACAGATGGTAAGCAGACTTAACACTGTAGCTTCCAGAGTTTGTAAAGCTCCAAATCCACCGTTCCTGCGAAAAACAGGGGCCAATCGGAACTCTAGCAATAGCTTGGACAATCTCTTCATGTAAAGAATTCATGATTGCATCCATGTTCCAGCTGCGATTAATTGGATCAATCCATTCACTAATACGAGACGGCTCCACCCCTAGATGAGATAAACTGAAATTTTGAATGGATGGCAGCCAAGGGTCGCAGTGGAACTGAGAATCCTCTCTAGACATGATACCCCTCACCAAACCAGCCTTCATATGCTCCTTGGCCTCACAAAAACCATTCTAGATCCATGAGCTCTTCCTCCCTTTAACTGCCGAAAACAAATCTCCATTGGGAAAGTAGATCCCCTTCAAAAGCTTGGCCCACAAGGCATCAGGATTATCCAAAAGTTTCCACACCTGTTTCCCAATAAGCGCAATGTTAAAAAGGTGAAAGTTCTTAAAACCCAACCCTCCTTCATCCTTAGGTTTTTCCAAATCCCTTACGTTACACCAGTGAATACCCCACTTCCTCATGAATCCCGACCAAAAAAAGCGCTTCAGAATCGAGTCCATTTTGTTCATTAAACTAAGAGGTAGCAAGAAAACACTCATGATGTAGGTCGGCAAGTCTTGGATCACTGCCTTCAACAATACTTCCTTACCTCCAGGGGATAACATAAGGCTTTTCCAAGAATCATCTTGCTTTTCCATACGCTCCAGAGAAACCCAAATGTTTCTTTTTTGGATCTACCCCATTCAGTTGGAACTCCCAAGTAATTGTCTTGGCAAACAAAAGGCGGAAACCCAAACTTATTACTCACCAAGGATCGGCCATGAGGAGTATTCTTGCTAAAAAAGATGGAAGACTTTGATGCATTGATCTCTTGCCCAGTAGTATCCCCATAAATCTTAATTATATCCATAATATGCTCAGCTTCCAGGACACTAGCTTTGCCAAAGATGACAGTGTCGTCCGCAAACAAACAGTGGAAAATCCTTGGGCAGGACAACTGTCAACTCGATAGACCCTTTTCTCAATTAAGAAAGACAAAGTGTTAAATGTAAGGATGAACAGAAATGGAGAAATGGGATCACCTTGTCTAATGCCCTAAGTCGGAGAGAAAAGATCAGTAGGACTTCCATTGAGAAGGATTCAGAATTTGAACGTCCTGGTGCACGCTCGAATCCAGCCACGCCACTTCTCTGAAAACCCCTAAGCCTCCAGAATGTAGTCAAGGCCGTCCCAGTCCACTAAGTCATATGCTTTTCGCATATCCAACTTCACCATCATGTCCCAATCCCCAAAGCGACGATTCTTGAAGTTATGCAGTATCTCATGAGCAATGATAACATTATCCTGAATAAGTCTACCTCCTGTAAAAGCGGCCTACATTTCAGAAACTAATCCCAACAACCATTTCTTCACTTGATTAGAGATAACTTTTGAAATAATTTTATATCTGAAGTTGCAACAGCTAATGGACGGTACTGTGAGATTGTCTCTGGAGCAAGAACCTTAGGGATAAGGGCAATACGAGTATCATTCCATCCCTGTGGCATAACAGAGGTTCTGAAGCAACGAATCACTTCATTACAAAAATCCGGACCAACTTTGCTCCAAAACTTACGATAAAAGGACCCAGCAAAACCATCGGGTCCTGGAGATTTTGATGACCCATGGTCGAAAACTGCCATTTTAATCTCTGCCACAGAAGGCTCTTTGTCCAAATCAAGATTCACTTCATAGGAGATGAAAAGGGTAGTTTTTTTACCTAGTAGAAATGACCATGATCATTTATATTTCTATTATTTATTTACTTAACTTACCTCATGTGAAGAAGTACTCTTGGTGCGGGGATAATTTTTGAATATGACTATGAGGTGGAAAGACTAAAATCATACTCGACCCATATCTGTCAAACTTTTTTATAGGTTTTACTTATATGCACCCCTTAACCAGTCAATGCGAAGATTCCTCAGTTGATTGAGTTGGGGTGGTCTGATATCCACTATCGCGGGTTTGATTTTCATCTCTGGTGTCACTTGTCATCATTATGAGATGGATACTAGTTTGGAGGGTTATAAAGCGTAAGATTTATAAACTCTATTTACCATGGTAATATATGGAGGTTCTCATTGAGCACCATCCCATTCAGTTTTTCCTGGCCTATGCGCACAGTACGAAAAGGTTTCCAGGTCTTTTACTCACTCAATTATTTCTCTATTGTTATTACTTTTCTTTTTTTTAAAAGGCAATAAAAAGCAATGGCAATTGGGAGCATCGTAATTTCGATTTATTCCATACATCAATCACTCACACATTAGCAATGACAATTGGGAGCTCGAACGAGTATCTCGATATATATATGCTTCTTAACAAAACATGATAAATATTGATAAATTATTCATGAAATTGATATTTTCACCTATTTACAACTTTCTTATTGATAAATTACTAGGCACTAAACATAAAATTCTAAATAATTAGATTATATTTATATATAATTTAGAAAAAACGGGAAGAGAATTGGGGATATCATAATGGGTTAGATTGATGAGAATACTCATGTCCGTCCCATTTAGCTTACAGGGTAGGTGTTACCTACTTCAAAACAAGTCAAATAGATCGGGTAAAATGGGTACATCAAAATTGCCAGTCTTATCTGGCATCATTTTAAATAACCGACACCATAGTTCCTTTCTTAATTATGAATGTGTTTACAACATTTAGTTCTTATAAGTGAAGACTTCCAACTATAGTAAGTTTTGACCGATTGAACAAATTCATGGTGACTCATGATGAATAGGCCCTAATAAATTGTTCTCTCTAAAGCTAATCCACTATGAAATACAATTACAACAACACATGCCTAGGGATAAATTGTCAATTAAATTGTCATGCTTCCTATGTTATTTCTACTTATATTCTCCAAGGTGGTTCTGCATGTTGAAGTAAATAGTTTCACAGTATTATGCCAAAAAATTAAAATATCAATATTCATTAAAAAAAATTAAAATATCAATATGTCTAAAATGTTCTCTCTTTTTTGTCAAGTTGATGAATTAAATAGCAAATGGGCCAAACCCAGAAGAAAAAAGCAAAAGAAAGGAAAACTAGATCCAAAGCCCAACCCACATATAGCAGGTCGGATACCCAATAGGGTCCAAACCCGTGAGTCCAACCAAGCAATCTAATCTCTAAACTCGGAGCCACCGAATCGAGACCAAGGGAGGCAGAGACACTCGCGTCCACCTCCGACTGACCTTTGCCAGACCAAACAACAACATCTCTCCGACGAGCAGAGCACTAAAGAGAACAACGTGTTGAATGGATGATCGGTGACAACGCCATGAGAATGATCTTCTGTCTCCAAAATCTTCAAGTTGAGCCCAATGATTTAGCCACTAAATATGTTTTTATCTCAATTATTATTAAGATTGTGCGTATTAATTTCACGTAACACATGTAACTTCTTTAATTGTAAGAGTTATATTGTAGGAAAATAATGGTTTTATTGATTATTATTGTTATTACCTCATTAGAATTTGTTACATGGGTTTATGCAAGGTAGTGAAGGGAGTACAAAAAGACGTACAATTATAAAGTGGAGGGCAAGCAATGTTGCAAAGATGGGATTTTTTGGTACATATAATTATACTTTTTAATCTAATAGTGAATCCCAATTTAACTTGATATTATGAAGAAATTTTTTTAATATAAATGATTTTATAGTTTTAAAGTACGAAGGAGTAAGATTTTTTGGAGTTGTATGATGCTGAGAAACTATTCAAAAATAGTGGCAATAGGACATCCTCCTTCCCTTCTCCAACTAATTAATTGAGGTAATTGACTGAAAATCACATGGATGAGAGAGTAGAAAAGTACAAATCTCATAAGTGAATTCATATTGTAACAATGGAAATAGTAGAATCGACTATGAAGATAATTATGTTGTTAATGGTTGAGGCAATGATGTTGTGATGGTGGGCTAATGACAAAGGGTCAAAGGAAATCACTCTAATGTGTGACAACACTTACTGAAGTGAAGTTTAACTTGATTAGTTTTTTCATACTTCAATTTCCTTGCTTTAGTCTTCGGAAACACTATAGTGTATGTCAATTTTTCATTTTTTAAGTAATTGAATAGTTCTGATTTTCTATGGTCCCGAATAAGAAAATATGTTCCTTTGTACAATTAATATGTTTTATTCATGTTATTCACGTAAACATGAAAAGAAAGAATTTTTGTAAAAAAAAGAACATTTAGAGAAAATTGGCATCAAGGAGCAAAATATAAATTGAAAACTTTAATAATTGTCATTAATGTAGACAAATTTTGGAATAATTTTAATGTGAAATAGATAAATAAAGTACTATAATTTTCATAGGATTTGACTTCTTTGCATCATTTCATGGGTTAAAATGTTGAAAAAAATTCTAATGAGCTAGGTAGGTTATTTTTCTAATGTAATAATTTATATTCGATATGGTACCAACAAAAAGCTATTTTTAATTCATACAGTTAATAATTTTTTAACAATTATGAAATATATACGGGCTGGGTTTCAATCTAGTAACTTGATAAAGAAGTTCATTTAATTCGTGTATTGGCACCGAACATACATGCATATCATGCTATGCAGTGTATACATATTGGCAAAGCTACGTGTAACTCAGACCGGGTTGTAGCCCATCTCAATAATTGATTTTAGGTTATAAAAGGTTGATATTAATGTGATAAAAGGTTGACATTAGTTGTCATCCAAGATCAGAGCTCAGAAATGTGAATATACTATTGTATTTCGTTATTTATTTCTAGTTCCGTTTGGATGTCATTTTAAAACCCAACCTTGTCATGACTGTCCATACGCACATAGGTATTGACACTCTCGATTCTTTATTGAGCAACGGCTTCGTGCAGATATAGATAATCTTGGATATATTAAGCAACATATGTATGATAGTTGCGGAGGAGACACTGGATTTGTGTAATGAAAAGAAATAAACCTTGCGACATTTAGATGAGATTGATTAGAACAATCTATAACAATATAGATATGTTGTTTCATATAATTTTCTTCTTTCTGGAAAATAAACTCCTTACATGTGCGTGCGGCTGATTGGTGAAGAATAATGTTGCGTAAGAGGAGAAAGCGAGTAGAGCAATCAATATCATCCACCTAATTAATCCTGAACTTGTCATTGTTCATACGGACATAGGTAACTAATATTGTGGGCTCTTCCTGATGGAGCAGAGGTTTAGTTGTAGATATAGGTAATATTTGATTTATTATGCAGGTAGCATACAACTATAGTTGTGGTTTAGCCACTTATTGTACGTAGTAAAAAAAGAAAGAAACCTTGAAATTGCGACACTTTGACGAGATTAATCGTAAACTCTATAATACTATTATCTGTTGTTTCGCGCATGATTTCCTCCTTCATGGAAAACGAACTCCTCCTTGCATGTGCGTGCGGCTGATTGGTGAACAATAATATTAAGCAAGGATCATCCACTCAATTAATCCTGCAGGGGCCAATAATAATTTTTGATACGATTAATTAAGGAACAGTAGCTAGCTAGTATGATGCGATCGAATCATAGCTGAATAGAAAAAATGGAGGACTTTGTTAATTACTTGCTGCAGTCGGCTTGCACTGGTAGTTTGCAGTCTGTTGGAACTTTGTAGAGGCGGTCCTGCTTCACCCCGGAGGCAGTGAATAAATCGTGGGAGCATTTGCAGGCTTGCTGCTTTTCCCCTTTGGTTCCCAACTTGGAGGTATAGGCTGCGAGGACTTGGCAGCACTGAGGAGGCACATGGTCGCCGTCGGTTTTGCCGGTGAAGTAGTCCATGCAGCTACCTGACAGTGCTTGTTGATAAGAGTTACAAGCTGGGTCGCTAGCCGAGGCCGGTCGGATGGCCTGGCTAGGGTTTGCTTGCAGGCAGATCGCGACGGCGACGACAAGAAGCAGCACACGGGAGAAGGTGATCATGGTGGTGGTGGTGGTGTGTTGTGTGGCTTCTTGATTAAGAAAAATGGGTGCAGCAAACGCGTTTATATACCAAGTGTCTGACTACCCAATATGCAATCATTCGTTAAATTCTATTATTATTATTTAGTTGGTTAGTTAACCTGCCTATCTTAACTTTCATTTTATTTATAACTAACCCAACAAGGTAAGAGCGCCCGGACGGTCAAATTGTGCGGATCGGAGGCCCGCCTGCAAATCACTATTCACTACAAGGCAAACTCGAGTTTTGCGGTAACCTCCATCCTACAAAATAAACTAATCAAATCAAACCAGCTGCCGCAGCTTTCTCAATTTCCCAACTAACGACAACACGAAGTATATTACATTAATCGATTACTTCCAAGTATGTGGCAACCGATCATACTTCACTACAAAAAAAAAAAAAAAAAAAAAGGTTCACAACCTGAAAAATTTAGGCCATCTTTAGTATCGTATATTACATTAATGGATTGTCAATTTTTGTTATGCAACAGGTTGTGAAAACCAGGCCCAAATAAAAGAAACCAGAATTAATAGTTTCTGGTCCGTTTTATGGGGCTTAGGATAGGGTCAGTAACCATTGGTTACTGACCTATGAGTAACTAACTATGGACCTTTAGATCTAAGTGTGCCCAGAAAATTCAGATCCAAGGGTTGTCAATTAAAGACATTTTATTTTCCATAGTTTTCATAGTCGGCTTTTATCTTCTTCGTTCTAACTCGGATTTCAATTTTTTTGCACAGATGGAACGACTTCGTTGTGCTCTACAAAATGAGATCAATTTTCTATATATTCCGAGATTTTTTTTACTAACTACATACCATATGGTTACTCTTCGTTTTTAAGTCGTTGTTTAAAACGTTTGCTCAGAAGAAACGAGTTCATCATGATCTATTGGATCGACAAATTTCTGGGTGAAAAAAATATTGGACATAAAATTACCATACTTTACCACTATGGTATGTGGGTGGTAACTTGTAGTAAACAATGATGAAAGTCGTAAATGACAGTTAGTATACTCTTACTATCATGTATTCAACCTTCTTACCATATTGATATGTTCATACCATCATAGTACGCTGTACCATATGGTATTAAATAGGAGCATACCATACAGTAATGACTGGTAAAAAATTATTCAATTTTTTGTACTAAAAATATATCAAAGTGGATATCATTTTAAAGAGCACATTTAATCTGATTTATCTGTGCAAAAAAATTAAATTTCGACTTAAAACGAGAGAAATCTTCCGTTAAAGATTAAAGGAGAAAAAAATAAAAGACTTTCCAGGAGAGAGAGAGAGAGAGAGAGAGAGAGAGAGAGAGAGAGAGAGAGAGAGAGATGTTATGCTAATATGGATGTGTTACAGTTACTCATGGTTATTGACCATAAGGTTACTGACCTGATCCGTTCCCTTTTATCGACATGTTTTAGAAGGAATTTCTAGGTTATTTCATTAAATCAGCTCCTCGACCTTTCACTACGAACCATAATGTTAAATGTATGAGGACGATAATGTAAATAACCTTCGTATAGGTTAAGTTGTAGGGTTTGGTGTGAGCAAACCTATATAAACTGTTGTACCTGTACTGGAGACGTTAAGTAGAATAATAAGAACTAAAACCTGAGAGGGAGATCATCCCCATGGACTAGTGTCTAACGACGATACCACGTTAAAAAAAGCTTTTGTGTTTTCGTTTCTCATTAGCTAAATTGACATGGTATCAGAGGTTTGATCAGGGCCTTTGATTCAGTTCATGCATCTTTATTAGGGTTTGCTTGGATCGGCGGCTACAGGAGTCGAGCAGTTCAGATGCGTCAGGTTCTTTCTTCGCGTCGATCTCTTGGTCCGTTTCTTGTCTGTGTGTTTTTTGATCGTTTTGCTATTAGGATGGAGGCTAGCCGATTTGAGGGTGTTACCACGAAGTTTGACGGCAAGAACTTTGTTTTGTGGGAGTTCCAGTTCAGAAACTTTATTGAAGGAAAGGGGTTGCTCCCAATCCTGAACGGGACGTCCAAGAAGCCGGATGACACCGCGCCGCAAAAGGATCTCCATGACTGGGCAACCGCAAATGCCCAGGTGGTGTGCTGGTTGGCGGGATCCGTTGACATCCCTACAGCCCTTGGTTTGCGTCAGTTCTCGACAACCCATGAGATGTGGTCTCATGTCTGCAAAATGTATTCCCAAGCTAACTCCTCTCAGCAATTTGATCTTGAGTTTGCTATTGCCAATCTTGTTCAAGGAGATCGGGATATCAGGGCTATTATAAGGAGAACCTCAACCTCTGGACAAAATACGACCTGTTGATGGCGTCTCTATCACCTGAGGCAAGTACTTCGCAGGTCATCAAGGAGCGGACACGTCTCTATCACCCAGAGTTTGAGTCTGTTCGAGCCTCGATTATTCACCGCGGTGTGACTGAGCTTGAAGATGTTCTCGGTGAGTTGTTACGCGAGGAGACAAGGCTGCGCAGCCAATCTCAGATTGACAATCTCTCGGCACCTGGAGATTCACCCTTTTCAGTCGGAAAGAGTGGTGGAAATCGTCCTCAATTTCAGGCTCAAGGGACTAGCACACTCACCTGCCACTACTGCCATGAAGTTGGACACATACAGCCTCACTGTAAGCAGCATAATATATGTATTTACTGTAAGAGGGCTGGTCATATTATTATGGAATGTAAGACGCTAACTCGAAAGGGGGGACTACGTCCAGGTTATGGTGGAAAGAATGTAGGTTCAGGCTCCTCGGGTAATGGCTCAAGTTATGCGGTTGTCGAGAAAAGCTCTTCTCAAGGGAGCTCGGTCATCACTTCATCGCCTGCTTGAGGCAATTTGTCTTCAGATGCTATTTGGCTTCTGGTGCAGGAGGTACTTCAGGATGTTCTTCCACATGCTTTGAATGCATCTTTTGCTACAGGTGGTTCCTCAGGTAAAACTCCTCGTTGGTTACTTGATTCCGCAGCTTTCAATCATATGTCTGGTATACACAAATGCTTCTCTCAGGTTCAACAAGTGGCTCCTATGACGTTACAAGTTGAAAATGGAACTAAGGTTCCTGATCGTGGATCAGGAAAAGTTTTATCAAGCAATGTTCAGCTCCAGGATACTCTATATGTTCCAGATCTTGTTCCGAATCTTGTCTCCACGGGGAAGTTGACAGAAGAAAATTGCAATGTGATGTTTAATTCTAATGGGTGTGTCGTGCATGATCGAAAATCAGGGAGGGTGAGCGGGAAAGGCCATAAGAATGGTCGCTTATTTATCCTAGATGAGTACAACAAGTCTAGGAGAGGAGATGGTCTAGCGGCAGCAATTGGACACAAGAATAATGGCAGTAGTGTTGATGACACTTCCTTTCTTTGTAATCATGCACATTCGGCAGCTTTGAATAAGTTTGGTCAGGATATTAATGTTTTGGGGTATTCTGTTAAGCCTGGAGAGTTGGATTTTTCTGTTCATTCATCTACATGGGATTTAAGGCACCACCGTTGGGTCATCCCCATTCGGCGCGTTTATTGAACATGTTTTGCACTCAATTATTACTCGATAATTTGAGTTCCAGTTTTGATGCTCCAAGTACTTGTGTGAGCTATATTAAGGCTAAAACATCACAATCATCTTTTCTGCCTAGTGATACAGAATATGATCATCCTTTCGACTTAATTCATACTGATTTGTGGGGTTCATCACCTGTCACCTTTCGTATGGGTTTCCAGTATTTTGCTTTATTCATAGACCATGCCACACGGTACACATGGATCTACTTATTAAGGAGGAAATCATAACTTATTACTCATGCACAGACCTTCGTTAAAATGATGCAGACTCAGTTCCAAACAACAGTGAAGGTTATCCGATCTGATCATGGGGGTGAATTCAGTTCCCAACCTCTCATAAACTTCTATATTTCACAGGGAATTCTGGTTCAACATTCCTATCCAGGTTTCTCGCAACAAAACGTCCTTGTTGAACGGAAGAACATGCATGTTTTAGAACTCACACGAGCCATCTTGTTCCACTCCTGTGTTCCGGCGGGAGTTTGGGTTGAAGTCGTTCTAACGGTAGTATATCTCATCAATCGACAGGTGTCCTCTATGATTGATAATCAGTCTCCATACCAGGTGCTATATCACAAAGCACCGAATTACTCATTACTGCGAGTATTCAGATGTCTATGTTTCCTGGGCTATGATGATGAGCACAAGGGCTACTTGTTCTATGATCCGGTACAACGTCGCATGAGAATTTCATATCATGTTGTCTTTCTCGAGCAAGTGATGCACTATTCCTTGGCGAAGGATAACCCTCCTCCCTCGTCGAATTTCCTTCGTCCTGATTTTTTCCTAGCAGCTTCGCTTGGTGACACGCTACGACACAACACCAAGCTGCGACCAAGTGTAATCGCAGTCCAGAAATGTAGTAAAGTGGCAAGTCTAATTATCAACCCGGGGTTTAGATCTACTGCCTACTCCGTGAATATTTATTATCTAGCCAACTAAGTCGAGTGATTGTTGTTTTAACTAAAAGCAATAAGAAAGCAGGAAATGGTTCGGTTTTCTGAAGCAAAGGAAGAGTCACTCGGGAATGAGTCCCCCTAGCTCCTTATTTAGGTCTCAGTTGTAATTTCCCTGGGTTGATTTACTGTTGATTAAACTGCGGAAGATCCGACAGTAGCTTGGAATCTCTTAAGCTGACCAAGCCCTCTCAGTCTAACTACCCGGCAGACGACTAGTCTTCACCGGGATAGCAAGCTGAAGCAATAAGCACAGAACTCCACTACTGGAATTGGATTCCAGTACAAAGCAGTAGACTGACTAACTCTTGTATAGCCAATCTACTACTACCGAATGATGAAGCTCTAACAACCTAATCAGATTCTATCTATCTCAGGTTGCAGCAGAAATCAAGAAAAGCTGATCAGACTTCAATCAATTCAATGAATCATGCATCATTCGATTAAAACCAAACAGTATAGCAATCCCAAGTCATTACAATCATGATCCCTAACACATGGAA